GTCTGGTCAGAGGAGAACTGGCCCCCCGACTGAGCCTGGTTTCTCCCAAGGTTTTTTCTCCATTCTGTCACCGATGGAGTTTTGGTTCCTTGCCGCTGTCGCCTCTGGCTTGCTTAGTTGGGGACACTTAATTTCCAGCGATATCGTCGACTTGATTGCACAGACACTATTTAAACTGAACTGAGCTGAATGATGACATAACTGAATTCAATGATGAACTGCCCTTTTGCATTATTGACACACTATTTTCCTATTTAATGCTGTACAGTTGCTTTGACACAATCTGTATTGTTAAAAGCGCTATATAAAATAAAGGTGACTTGAATATGCACATAGTCATGCAATGCTGATGCTGTTAACATTAAGAATTTTAGAATAAAGTTTAACAATAATAATAAATTGCACGGTTTGATTGTGATATGACCTAACCGATCGTTACACTTAATCACCATTAGTAGCACGATTTATTGTAATGCTTTTTTCCTCAGTTGGTCAGAACAAATGTGGCAGACTTGTTACTTACTTGTTCAGATGACAATATCCAGTGAAAATTCTTATTTGGGTCATATATTCCAAGACGTAGGCTAGAATCTGTGAGTGCAAAGTACAATATCCACACCGGTGTGGTGACTGACTGCCACACATACTCCTCAAAACATTAGATTCAGCCACGCTGGAGCACGCCGGAGCACAACCCACGCAAGGAAGATAATTCCGCACACAGCTGCAATTGCAGGTTTTCAAACCGAGATGGCGACAAAGAGGCAAAACTTACGGACTGCAGCTTTAATGTTAGTTAATAAAAATACTCTTATTCATTGTTCATGTTAGTTCACAATGCATGAACTAATGTTAACATACACTACAACTTTTGATTTTAAAAATGTATTAGTAAGAAATGAAGATAACTAAGATTAATAAATGCTGTAGAAGCATCACGTTAACTAATGTAGTAAACCAATGTTAACAAATAAAACCTTCTTGTAAAGCGCTACCAGTATATTATTTCTGTAATAAGTGCTCTTTTTATAAATATGCTAAAGTGTACTTCTTTTTCACAAGGAAACCCAAGGACTGTGTGTACATTTAAAGTGCGCAACATCTTATCACGGTCTAAATCACATTAAAAGATTATAATACTCACGTACACACTTGGTACTTTCTAACCTTGAGCTTAAGAATCTGAAAGCTGTTAAATAACTGTGTAGGTCCTGAAAGACCTGGATACATTATGAAATCAAATCACACATTGTAAATTCTTGCAAAAATATGTGACCTTACCATGGTACCAGATGGTAATACTAAGTAAAACCAAGGACCTGAATGATTTTGCCATATTCAAACGCTATGTTAATTATGTTTTTTTAACACATGCAAAAAAAAAAAAAAAAACACAGATACACATTGATAATAACATCTTCAAAACGGTATTTTGATGATTTTGCAAACGACATTAAAATAAACACAGTTAAAATATGATCACAATAACAAAAAATCACGGAGGTGTGGGATTCTGTACTCAAAGTATGTGAGTAGGTAGTTAAGCAGACACACACACACACAGAGAGAGAGAGAGAGAGAGAGAGAGAGAGAGAGAGAGAGAGAGAAGAGCCTCTGAGAGCATCTGGCCGTCTTATGTAAGCGCTGCAGCTGTTTATGTCTCTCTCTGTTCTCATCATGTGTTGCTATGGGTCTGCGGGAACAGTGCAGCGCTGCCACCTGCTGGCCAAACGCAGTACGATGTTTTGCAGCTATGTTATATATGGATCGGCGGTTCTTAAATAGTTGTTTCGACTTTCGAGATTACTTCAGATATGAAGAGGCACCGTAAACACAGTACCAAATGTAATGCAAAAGTAAATATATTTGATTACAATCAAACATCGAAATTAATGTATACTCCGATTACTCTGAAGCGCATATAGGCCCCACAATACTGACAGCTCACATACCTGTCGGTGTCAGCAGAAACTTATCATCAAACCGATTTCTGTAATTATAGCAACCAGGACTGATGTTTTAGATCGAAACAAATTAAAACCACAAAACTAATCAGAGCTATTTTATTTATTTATTTTATTAGTTTTTTTTTTTTAAAGAAAACCTTGATTATCTAATTTTTCATTTTAGAAGTTCTAGTTTGTAGAAACTTATTAGAAAATTTACTAATTTTCAACTTCAAAAATTGTGTTTAATATTTCCCTAAATATATTGAGACATTTAATTTGGGACATGAAATTAATGCAATGCGTAACAGGAAAGACTACAGAAATGGTCTGAATCAACCATTAATTTAAGAACAGTCGGTTCAGAAAACAAATCAGACATCATGACATGAACATATGAACACATTAGATAATAAAACCAACACAGAAGGTGAATTCCCCATCAAATTAAGTTTAATAGAGTTTAAAAATAAGGCTATGATGCAGTTTTAGCAAATTTTGACAAGAAAAACACCGTAATAATGACAGGCTGTGGCGCACATAGCCAGTCCAGTAAGATTTAAGGGATACAGTGACAAGACACACACACACAAATGCAGTAATTTCTCAATTGTCTGCACACACATTCGCAGATATTCACACAACCACCCAAAAAGGTGGCGATAAAGTTGAACGAACAAACTGCATTGTACTTAAAAAAAAAAAAAAAAACATGCATAGCTTAATACAATAAACGTGTATTTCCGAATGACCCATGGAGGTTATGCTGTCTAATACTGTCAACATTATTAATCAGTTCCTTCTAACATGAAAACATCGCTTCTTAAAGGTCTGAGATGTAAAACAAAACAATATCGTCCTTGTTCACAAACATGTAAAAAGTTACATTCTGAACCGCAAAGTTCATTATGAAAAATAAATAATTGGAATGGCAACGACAAAGATATAAAGATTCCCTTTATGTATCAGAATTTAAAAGAAACAGAGACCGAATGCGCCCAAACCCGACCCCTTTCCCCATTTACACATAAAAAGTCAAATATCATGTTGCATTTGTTTCAACAGAAATCAAGGTACAATAAAAGTGTCGTAAAGACCAGATACAAAAGGAGCGCAAAACTCTGATTAGAATTAGAAAACTCAACACACTCGAACCCAAGTCTGGGACATACAATACAGACAAAACCGACATTAATTTTCTGAGATGCTTAGTGCTGAAGCAAACAAAACCAAATCTGACACAAGACATATAAATCATTTATTATACAATCCCTGTCAATTTTTTTTATTTAACATTATTTTGTCCATTGCTGTCCATTCAAGAGAATCACAGAACATCGAAAAGCCTTGGCAATGCAAAATATTCGACAATTAGGCTGTTTAGTGTTTGTTATTTGTTCTACGTTTCATCCTTTGGTAAAAGGGCATCTCAACTGCAATAAACACTACCGCATGTTGTTCTTTCCGGAAATCAGGTCCATCTACTGTGTGTTCGGTACGGTCTAAAAAGTGCCATCAAGCTTTAGCGTGAGGGAAGCCCGAATTTATAGAGCTCCGGGGCTCCGTGTAGGAATGATACAGGACTCATGCAAGCGCCAAATACACGCGTACAGACGCACAACACCATGCCGTAAGGTGCTAAGACACCGCTCACCAGATCTACAGATAGCAAAAAATAGCTCTCCGAGTTTCTATATACATTAACTACACAATGCTCCCACTGCCATAGTGCACAGAGACACCTATGATCAATTCTGTGAAGAACAAAAAACACAAAAATCATCTCAAGCAGCTAACATAAAAAAACAGATTTCCCTAAAGTTATAATGTTGTAAACTGTTAAAGGAATAGTTGACCCAAAAATGAAAATTTGCTGAAAATGTACTCATCCTCGGGCCATCCAAGATGTAGATGAGAATATGAAAAGATTTGGAGAAATGTTTTTATCAGCTTGTTTGGACTCCCATTCACTGCAGAGGAGCCATTGGTGAACAAGTGATGTGGTGATGCATTTCTCCAAATCTGTTCTGATGAAGAAACGCATGCATTTACATCTTGGATAGCCTGAGGGTGAGTACATTTTTAGCAAATCTTCATTTTTGGGTGAACGATTCGTTTTGTTCCTTCATTTCAACACTGATCTCTTTTCTGTCAATGCCAGATTCATATAAAACAATAAAATTAAATAAACATCTAATCGCAAATATTAGAACTCATTGTTATGTAGTATTAAAGGGGTCATATGATGCGATTTCAATTTTTGGAGTGTTCAATCTTTGGAGTGTTACAAGCTCTTGGTGCATAAAGAAGATCTGTAAAGTTGCAAAGACTGGATCGGCTTTCACCGTGGACGAAGCGGAGTCCAGCCCGGAGTCGTCACATGTCCTTGCGGACGCTCCTTCGTTGAAATAGCCGGCTGCGCCGTTCTCGAGTATGTTGTAAAATAATAAGCCCATGTGGGTTGACCTAGAGTTCTCCGTTGAACCTGCAGCAGTGATTTATCAGTCACTCACTGCCTAAAGCAACCTGCCAGACTATAACATAACTCAATCAGAGCACACCTCGCTTTTTCAGACCGATGAGCTTTGTAAAAATCGACGCGTTTCAGAAAGGCGGGGCATAGAGGAGAAACAATAATGTACAGTATGTGGAAAATAATGTGTTTTTTTAACCTTAAACCGCATAAACACATTTCATTACACCAAATACACAAAATAATGTTATTTTTAGCAGCATCATATGACCCCTTTAAGAACAACACTATTAATAATAATAATAATAATATCTGTATTAAGAATAGTATGTTGTAAAATAATAAGCCCATGTGGGTTGACCTAGAGTTCTCCGTTGAACCTGCAGCAGTGATTTATCAGTCACTCACTGCCTAAAGCAACCTGCCAGACTATAACATAACTGCGCTCAGGTTTGGCAGGAGCCGACTGCAGCTTCAAAGTGGGTTCGGCCGATTCATCATCTTCATCTCGTCCCAAACCACCATCCTCATCACCTGAGAGAGAAAAAGAGAGCCCGTATTATTGTGTCCTGTCAGCAGACCACTGATACAATAACAAATCTTCAGTAGCTTTAAGCAGTTTCAGAATTTCAAAAACTAGAGAACTAAAATGAATAACGTTTTTAAAGGTATGTCTGCAATATTATTGGTTAATATTACTCTTTCCCCACCCATGCAACCTTAAATACATCAGCAGAAATGTCCATTCAAAGCTATTAATTAATTATTGATTAAAGATATTGACAACAAATATTTGGTCCTTTAGAATAATCTGCATTCAATTTGTGCATGAATCGTAACCTCAGACAAATATTAAGAACAGAAAGTGTTAATTTTGATGACTTGATCATATCATCATACTTTATTTTTTCATGTATTTATTAGGCTTGCCGCGATAGACGGTGCTGACGGTGATACCGGTGTTAAGCCACAACACCGGTTACGTCACTTGCCCACCGCGTCACCGACCCCCACCGTCGTTTTGATTTTTTATAGTAATAAAAATCATTTAGTTCAGCAAAAGAA